CTGAACCATGAAAAACAGTCCCAGATCATTATTCCTCCTCCACCAAATTTTACAGTTGGCACTATGCATTCTGACAGGTAGCGTTCTCACGGCATCTGCCAAACCCAGATTCGTCCGTCGTGATTAATCACTCCAGAGAACGCGTTTCCACTGCTCCAGACGAACAGTTATTGTGCTGACGATGCTTCCGGAGGCAGTTTGGAACTCGGTAGTCAGTGTTGCAACTGAGGACAGCACTCGGCGGGCCCGTTCTGTGAGCTTGTGTGGCCTACCACTTCGTGGCTGAGCCGTTGTTGCTCCTAGACGTTTCCACTTCACAATAACAGCACTTACAGTTGACCGGGGCAGCTCTAGCAGGGCAGACATTTCTAAAATCATATGAGGGTGCCACATTAAAAGTCACTGAGCTCTTCAGTAAGGCCATTCTACTGCCAATGTTTGTGTATGGAGATTGCATGGCAGTGTGCTCAATTCTATACACCTGTCAGCAACATACAGCTGAAATAGCCAAATCCACTAATTTGAAGGGGTGTCCACATACTTTTGTATATATAGTGTAACTCTCTGAATGTAATCACACTCCTTTAGTACACAAACACACTGAAGTTCCATTTTCTGTTCTATTCAGTCAACTTATAAAGTAGTGGAAATATAATGCCACAAGACTAATGCTTTACCATCCTAAACAACTGACAGTAGGGGGTGATCACGCTTGTGTTCTGTTCTCGATTGTGTTGCTGAACATTCCAATGTTGCCCAGTCTTTTCTTCTGTTTCTGACCCGCATAGTGACATCATCAAAACATGGTGGGCACTCTGATATCTGACAATATGCCAAGGATGATAAATGGGAGCAACAATCTAATCAACATTGTAAAGGAGAACAACAATCTAATCAACATTGCAAAGGAGAACAACAACCTAATCAACATTGCAAAGGAGAGCAACAACCTAATCAACATTGTAAAGGAGAACAACAACCTAATCAACATTGTAAACGGCACCTCCGTACTTTCAGGCTCTGATCAGTCCCTACACCCAAACGAGGGCATTGCGTTCATCCACCTCTGGCCTGCTGGCCCCCCTACCTCTGCGGAAGCACAGTTCCCGCTCAGCCCAGTCAAAACTGTTCGCTGCTCTGGCACCCCAATGGTGGAACAAGCTCCCTCACGACGCCAGGACAGCGGAGTCACTGACCACCTTCCGGAGACACTTGAAACCCCACCTCTTTAAGGAATACCTGGGATAGGATAAAAGTAATCCTTCTACCCTCCCCCTACCCCACCCCAAATAATTTAAATAATAATGATAATAATAATTTGATATATTGTTAAGTGGTTGTCCCACTGGCTATCATAAGGTGAATGCACCAATTTGTAAGTCGCTCTGGATAAGAGCGTCTGCTAAATGATGTAAATGTAAATGTAATGTAAAGGAGAGCAACAATCTAATCAACATTGTGGCTCTCTTATAAGAGTTGATCAGTACTGAGAGTAATGCATGGAGTTTCTACGCATTTAGGAGAAGAGACTGGGAGGTGCCACACACCCTTAGACATCCTTAGGTTGTGCTGTCAGATCAGAGGCGCCATTCTGTTCCACCTTTATACTGGATGTGGTTGTCTAGAATCTGCCCATTGGACTCCCCACTGCCGTGCCGTGTGCCCGACCATGACGTCAACTGAGCCTAAACGATCCACCCCTGGGTTAAATCCCACTGTAGACAGACGGGTACCTCTTAAAGCCCACTATGTGTGTGTGTCTGTACGTGAGAAACAACTAGGATTTGCTCCAACATTCAAAAGTTTGCGTTGTAGATTTGAAGACGGTCTAAAGGATTCGTAGGGAATGACCTTGTACGCTCTACCTGTGCCATGCGCCAAGCTTTTTGTTGATCTAAACACAGAGAGACATTCCTTCTAAACACCCTTTGGGCGATATATCGAGCTCTTTGGCTAATTACTCCAAGTGATAATGGATATTTTGATGCCAGAGGTAGATCAGAGACTCCAGGAGACGGGGGATTTCAATTCATGCGACAAGTGTTTATACTCTGATGCGAAGCAGACCTTGAGTGGTAGAACACGTTCCACTGGTGCATCCTCAACCAAACGCCTTCCCATTAAACCAGTGCTTCTCAATTATTTTCTGTTACGCCACTCCCCTAGGAAGAAGTAAACATTTCGCGCACCGCCAACTCTCCGCCGCGACTGTAAATAGTATAATTTGTCTATAAAATTGTTATAAGTACACCTCTGCATAACATTGTATCCTTATTAACATTAAAGAAAACAAAAAAAGAAAAAAGAAAGAAATACAGATCAACTTACAACAAAGAATAACTTTATTAACATTGTTTTTTTAGTCTGTAACAGAAAAGACTTAAAGTGCATCAATTTGCCAGAAATTAAAAAATAATTTCAATCCTTATTTAAACTGTAAACATTTTTTGACCATTTGATACTGAAAAATAAAATAAAATATAATCAATAAATAATAATACATTCAAATTGATCAGCAACATTAACGCAGGAGTACAATATATGAAACCCTTTGACCTATAAAACAAAAATGAATAAAACAATGTGCTGATTTAAAAAAAATCAAAATGAGGAAGTCAGGATTAATGGCTACAATGAGCACGTTTTGCAGTGCACAGCTTTTCGAAGCAGGGTTTGAAGCATGATACTGCAACTCTCAGCTCCTGCTCAATGTTTAGCTGGGACCTGTACTTGGTCTTCAGTGCAGCAACAGCAGAGAAGCCAGTCTCGCAAAGATAAGATGTTGCAAAAGGAAGAAGAATGCCCCATGGCCCTCTGTCCTAAGAGTGGATACTGCCTCTCTACACTCAGCCAGAATTCACTCAGTGTCTGTGATGTGAACCTCAGTCTCAATGTGGAGTCAGACGTCATATCAATGAACTGGTCCTCCTCTGTCGAGCTGAAACCAGTTGGAGCTGGTGCATTGAAAGGATCTCTCACCCAGTCATATTGGGAACTGTTTTCAGGGAAGTACTTTTTAAAGAATCCCATCAGTGATGCAATATGCTCCTTAATATATGGAATCACTGAGGTGGCATCATAGTCAGTAGTGTCAACAAATTCATGCAGGTTCTCGAATGAATCAGTATTTCCTTCATCAAGTCGCCTGCCACACATTGCAAGCTTTCGAGTGAAAGAGCTGATCTTGTCTGTGACCTGAGGGAGGTGTTTATCTTTCCCTTGAAGCTGTAGATTTAGTTCATTTAGCTTTCCAAATATGTCACTCAGGTAGGCCAGCTTTGCCAGGAAGTTCTCATCACTAAATGTTTCTGCGAGGTCATACTTGTGCTCCTGCTCCGAAAACATTCTTATCTGCTCTCTGAGCTCAAAAACCCGGGACAAGACTTTTCCTCGTGACAGCCACCTTGCTTCACTGTGAAACAGCACAGCTTGATGTTCAGCTCCCATCTCCTCACAGATAGCAGAGAAGACTCTTGTTTTTAGTGGTCTGGTCTTTATAAAATTGATTACACCTACAATGTCAGTCATAACCTCACTTAATTCAGAGGAAAAGGTGCCTTGATGCCAGTGCTTCTCTGTGTATAACACAGTGTGTCCACTCAGCATTAGGTGAGGCCTTCTTGATGAGTGCCCCAAGTCCTTTTCTCATCCCTGCCATGGTCTGTGCACCATCACTGCAAACACCAATGCAGTTCTCCCACTTTAGCCCATTCTCAGTCAGGAAGCAGTCCAGCATTTTGAATAGCTCTTCAGCTGTGGCTCTGTCTCTGACATATTTACAAAAAAAGTAGATCCTCACACGGGGAGTTTGTCATGTCAAAACGTACATAAGCGATAAACAAACAGTCTTTGTTGCTGTCAGTTGCTTCATCGAACTGTAAGGCAAAACGTTTGTCTTTGAGTTTATTTACCAGCTGTTCTTTAAGATCGTTGGCAATGTCATTTATACGTCTGGCGACAGTGTCATTGGACAGAGGGATAGTTTTTATTTTTGCAGCACTTGCGTCATCCTGCATGACAGAGACCATGTCTAATGCTGCAGGCAGTATCAGCTCCTCTGCTATGGAGTGTTTTTTTTTGCACTGAGCAATTTGGTACGCCACCTTATATGATGCTAACAGCTCGCTGGTTTACTGAAGTTTCATTCACAAAGCGGGACGATTGTTGGCAATATTCGGCACGTTTTCGCTGAAAAAACTCAAGCGGCTTTATCAGCGTGATTGGGCTGTAATGTCTTTAAGTGACGCCTTCATTTATTTGGCTTCATGCTGTCTGTCCCCTGCCAACATTTTTAGACACAGTAAACATACCGATCTTTCCTCGTCTCCCACCGTAGTCACAGTGAAGCCAAGCGCTACATACGCTTCGTCATATTTCCTCGTCTTCGCTTTCGGGAGACTTACGTTTGTCTCATTATCTCCGTCTCTCTCCGCCTTTCTTATCATCCCTGTTAAATATGTTGAATATGTTTCCATGGTGTCTCTTAAGGGTTTGTTATCTGCACTTCATATCTCCTGCTCTGTGCTGTGTGCTCTTGTTCGGTGCAAAAAAACCCTACTCCCTGCGGCAAAAAAATGCATGTTCCCCGGGGTCACACGCGCCCCCCCCCCCGGCATCGCTCCGAGCCCCCCCCCCAGGGGGGCACGCCCCACTATTTGAGAAGGACTGCATCAAACCCACTGGTTTACATTTCTCAGTTCAAAAATGGGATTTATCAGGCCGAAGGGTAGGACACCTGAGAGTGCTGACTGGGGAACGTAAACAATCTCCTTGTGTTGGTCACTGTTTCTATGCAGAGGGTGTCAATGAATGTCAGACAACCGCAGTATGAGCAGGGCTTGGCTTTTCACCAAAACTTCTCAAAAAAACTTTGACTGTGTACTTACTGGGACTGTCTTTTGCTTTTACTTGTCTACACTAAATGTATGTGGTTAATGAATGATGTTGGGAGAGGAACAGACTTGATTATTTTTCTCTCTCGCTCTTCTCTTTCAAAACAGAGACCGTTCTTGTAAGGGCGCTACGGGCTGCAGTATGATTCCCCCTGTGGTTGTTCCACTGGTGCTGCTGCTGGTCTGCGGGCCCGGCTCCACACTGCAGGTGGGGGCCGAGGAGTTGGAGAGCATAGACGAGGTTCTGGAGCCGGAGTTCCTCTACGCTGGACGCACCAAGCGTGCTGTGTCAGCTGACGCCTCCTCGCAAGTGGACAAGTGCTCCTACACCTTCATCGTCCCCCAGCAAAAGCAAACCGGCGCCATCTGCGTCAACTCCAAGGAGCCCGACAGCCTCCTAGAGAACCGGGTCAACAAACAGGAGCTGGAGCTGCTGAACGGCGAGCTTCAGAAGCAGCGGCGACAGATGGAGTCGCTGCAGCAGCTGGTGGAAGTGGACGGAGGCATCGTCAACGAGGTCAAGCTCCTGCGCAAGGAGAGCCGCAACATGAACGCCCGCGTCACGCAACTCTACATGCAGCTGCTGCACGAGATCATCCGCAAGCGCGACAATGCCCTGGAGGTGTCGCAGCTGGAGAACCGCGTGCTCAACCACACCTCCGAGATGGGTCGGCTGGCTTCGCGCTACCGCGACCTGGAGCACAAGTACCAGCACCTGTCCACCCTCGCCGGCAACCAGAGTGCCCTCATCGTGCAGCTGGAACAGCACTGCCGCCGAGGGGGCCACTCGTACGGGGGGGAGAGAGAAAGGTCTCGCCCTGTTCGCCCCCAGCCCCCCGTTGTCCCACAGCAACCTCCGCAGCAGAGGCCGGTAGCGCCGCCAGTAGCTAGCAAACCCTACCAGCCGCCCACCTACACCCGCAGCAACCAGATCACCAACGAGATCCAGAGTGACCAGAATTCCAAAGCGCTGCCACCTCCGCTGCCCACCATGCCCAGTGGCACTCACCAGCCGTCCACCACAAACAAGCCCTCAGGTGAGTACCTTCCCCCTTTGATCTTTGACCTGAAACATTTCTCTCTCTTTGTCGATGTTATTATTGAGGTTAGACAGAAGCAGTAATTCAACTTGTCCAAGAAGTCAGTAAGCTCAAGAAACATTTATTCAGTCATAATCCTCAAAGGGAACTCCTGCCAAAACCTGTACGCCATGTCCATGTGACCATAAACGTACACCTATGTACACGTGATCATAGCTGTGTGTCAATCCAAAAGGGAAAACGCGTTAACTTTTTACCTTGGAGTGTTCCGTTATCCTCTTCCTGAGGTCTCACAGCAGATTTATGGAAATAATAGTTACATTAATTATACGGCTCATAGATTGTTCTAGACATATTTTCTTAAGTGTCTCCCTCCAAGGGGAGACCTCTAAAGAGTTCCTGCATTCCAAAGAAAATACACTTCGCTCAGTCACAGGAGCATAAGAGAGATACATTTATCCATCCTGCTGCGACACAGAACAAAATCACTTTCACTCCTCACAAATCCTCAAGACAGGGGAAAAAGCTGACAGACATACACAGCGAGACTCTGGAAAAGGTATTGGCTAGCAGCCCATCTAAACACGCCTCAACAATATTTATTGAGCCGTGCATTGTCCGAATCTGTCCGTATGTTTCAATACACTGCAGACTTAAAAAGGGGGATTAGGCTGAGAAGAGTAACGAGTCTGAAATGTCCTCTGAAAAGAACACAGTCCGAAATGAACAGGCAAAACCAACTTTAAACCATCCCCGCAAACATATCACACTCTTCCTTGTGACTGCTCATTCCAAACCAGGATCTAAAGATCGCCGTGTCTGACCATGAATTTCATAGGGCTGGATAACCATGTTTTTAAGTGAACAGAAGGATCTCACGGTGGGGGTGCAGAGAGGAGAACCACACGCTATCGCTGGCTGCTGAGGGGTTAGCAGCATGCACAGCATTGTCTCAGAAGCATGCACAGCATTGCCTCAGTGCATAAGCCTCAATCAACCCTGAGTTTTTGACAACCGGGAGATCCACACTGTACAGGTGATTTGATTAAAAATGGTGGCAGCATTCCACATGGCTTAAGATCCTCTCGGTAGCTTCTGTTTGACAGGTGCTGCGGAGTGTCTCCAACACCTGAAATTGGACAGATTGGCTTGGCCCCTGTCCAAAAAAGCTTGCAAACAAATTTGAGCACTCAACACGTACGTTTCAGTGTCCACTTAGGGAAGAGCTGTGTTGGGAGGTCGCTTTTCATCACTATGTGGAAGCCGTGGGGCATTCAGGAGTATGTTGAGTGTTCCGTTGCTATGCAACAGGTGGGCAAGTCTGCCGCAAGGTCAGAACTAATACTTAGGAACAGAGGAATAGAAAATGTGTGATTGGGAAAGTGATTGTTTTGGGGCAAAAAAAAAAAAGGACACCTACAGCAGAATTGCTGTCATATGTTCCAGCAACACCCTTGACTCAAAATAATCTGCTAACACAAATTACACACCCTTTCAGTGCAGTCCATGCAAAACAGTGAATTACATTTAAAAAGAGATTCCTCATAGCTCTCCCTGCTCTTCCAAAGGCAACTTTCGTAATTGCAAGTCACAAAACGTACTTTAGCCCAGCTGTGTACGAGTGTACAATCATTAATATTCAGTCACAAAACGTACCGTAGCACAGGCGTGTACAATCATTAGGCTAATATTATAACATATAATACAATCATTAATATTCAGAAGATCATCTTTGGACCCAGGCACTTGCTGACTCTAATCTGCGACATGTGTCGGGGAGCGACGGCAACGCCAGGCTCTGTATTCTTAGTGCCATCCCCAAAAGGGGATTATTGGAAAGGATACGAGGGACCAAACAGGGGTTTGGGATCTCAGGGATTAGCTATAATTTGTCAGGTTCTGGGATATTTTACGCCTCTGTGGAAAGTATAATTTGTCAGGTTCTGGGATATTTTACGCCTCTGTGGAAAGTATAATTTGTCAGGTTCCGGGATATTTTACGCCTCTGTGGAAAGTATAGCCCCGGGGATCATAGTCAGCCCTGTAGAGATTTGTAGAGATTTTAAAGATGTTTGTGGGTTTTGCCTTCTCTGCTTAATCCATAGCAAAACTATTTATATTACTACTACTGTTCTACCTTTACAAATGCTACCACTATAATGATGTTGTACACAGGGAGAGAGAGAGAGAGACAGAGACAGAGAGAGAGAGAGAGAGAGAGAGAGAGAGAAGAGAGAGAGAGAGAGAGAGAGAGAGAGAGAGAGAGAGAGAGAGAGAGAGAGAGAGAGAGATGTGGGGGGAGCCCCACTGCACAGCAAACACAGAACGGCTATCAATCATATATGAGAGAAGCCAGACTAGTATTAGATAGGGGCTGGTTTTAATAGAAGCCAGACTAGTATTAGATAGGGGCTGGTTTTAATAGAAGCCAGACTAGTATTAGATAGGGGCTGGTTTTAATAGAAGCCAGACTAGTATTAGATAGGGGCTGGTTTTAATAGAAGCCAGACTAGTATTAGATAGGGGCTGGTTTTAATAGAAGCCAGACTAGTATTAGATCGGGACTGGTTTTAATAGAAGCCAGACTAGTATTAGATAGGGGCTGGTTTTAATAGAAGCCAGACTAGTATTAGATAGGGGCTGGTTTTAATAGAAGCCAGACTAGTATTAGATAGGGGCTGGTTTTAATAGAAGCCAGACTAGTATTAGATAGGGGCTGGTTTTAATATAGGAAAAGAGACAATGGTGTACCACCCCCCCCTCCCCAGATAGCATATGAACACGTCATAAGCAATGGCAAAAATGTTTAGAATTACAGTAAATTAGCTTTAAAAATGTTACATTTTCTCTCAGCCTCGTGGTAACATTTGTAGAATAGCATGAGATTAGCTATGAAACTGCCCAATTTTTTTTTGTTGCCCTGTGGGCATTTTGGGGGGAATTGCAGGAAGATAGCTATCCTCAAAAAAGGGGGGCTTTGCAAAACTACGGTACGCCACTGAAAAGAGGTGTAGTAACCATTAGTTACAAGAGCCTGATTGGTTGCTGCTGTAGTTGATCGACGACAAGCTGGGAGCAAGAGACTGCTTAGGGGATATCAAAATGCAGACGTATGCCTGCATTTAGGCTTCCGCCCCCCCGAGTGATGGTCCTTACAGCCTTCAGTTTCTGTCCGACCCGGAGTTCTCCACAGCGGCCATTAAATCACTTTAAAAGTAGAGCGTGAGGAGGAGGAAGAAAAGAGGAAGCATCAGCTCGTAAATACAGGCTCAGATCTGTGTGCTAGGAACCAGAGTGTATCCGCAATGACCTGGGGGGGGAAAGAAAAACAGGAGACAAATTACATTTGTCTGGCCCGTTTTCATTGGCAGCAGGTGACGGTGAGCTTCCTGCAGAGCTTGACTACTGCTTGAATTACCTCAGGCCTTTAAATGTTCCCCGTGTTCTCCTAAATAGTGGAGAGACAGGTCTAAAAGTGGTTAAATCAGGACTTACACTGATTGGTCAAAGTGTCTGGTAATGAAATAAACCACACCTTTAACACTAGCAGTGGCCTGGCCTTTTTAGCCCATCAGTACCTGATAGAGAACGTTGCTGGGCGTCCCCTTTAGACTATGCATCACATGCATATCAACATTTTTTTTAAAAATGTTTAGTCATTTAGCAGACGCTCTTATCCAGAGCGACTTACAGTTAGTGAATACAACACCATGCTCTATCAACTGAGCTACATCCCTGCCGACCATTCCCTCCCCTACCCTGGACGACGCTGGGCCAATTGTGCGCCGCCCATGAGTCTCCCGGTCGCGGCCGGCTGCGACAGAGCCTGGATCTCTAGTGGCACAGTTAGCACTGCGATGCGGCGCCTTAGACCACTGCGCCACTCAGGAGAACTATCAACCCTCAAGGTAAACATAAGCACCTTGGCTTGATAAATAATACATTGACAATTCTAAAGCATGAATTGCACGAAGAAATATTTGTGGAAATATATCCATGGAAAAATATAACAATAGTTATTTATTAGTTAAGGATGTGTTTTGTATAATTCTACAAAAGTGTCCTAGCGAAAGAACGTAGGCCTAGAGACAATTTTCGATACTTCCAGCCAATGACGCGTCAACATTCTAACAGACTAATAAATACATTTCATATATGCTATCGGATAGAATAATCAATTGGTTGTGTTTATGAAGGTCTTAGGTAACATTAGAATACTAAAAAATGATTATTTCAAAAGACCATAATAGCCTGTTCATTGGTTTATGTTCCTCTAGGCTGTAAGTAAAAACAAAAACAAAAAACACTAGTTCAAGTCCACCACAATGAAGTGCATTATAATATTGTTTTGGCAGGTCTAAAGAAACATTGTGGAAATAAGAAAATGTATTTAAAAGAAAACAGAATAGCATATTCTACGTTTATTGTGTTACTAGTCTTTGCGCTTAGTATCCAGAGCAATGCTGCCGCGTGAGCGGTCATGTGCTGAACGCATGGATAGCGCAGATGTCCTTGGAAAAAGTTACATTTGGAAATAGAGCGGCACCTCTTGAATTTTGTAAGTTCTGAGAAAGTGTCATAGAAACTGCAGAATATGCTCTTTCTGATACTATATAGAAATCAACAAGGTTTTACCTGCATGTGACTCTGAGGGAGGATTTGATAAAGCGATGCTCCTTTCCCTGCATCTGTCAATTACACGATGTACAATTGTACGACTGATAATATTGTAAATCAGACTATTGTCAATTTAATCTCGTCTATTGGCTGACTCTTATTTGATGTGAAATTAGTTTAGGTGTAGTTTGAATGGTCCGGCTGCTCAGGCTGACCTGGCATCGTTTGCGTCCCCCGCTGATCGACCTGGATAGAGTCAAGGATATGTTTCACATTATTCTAAAAGGTCTACTGCAACACGTAGCATGTTTTTGTTTCCTTTACAATAACTCTGATTTGTTATAGCGTTTTAGTAAATAAAACAGTCGCGTAACAGCTTCTTTTTTTTTTCAAAGTAAAACGTAAAAGAGCATGGTATCAACCCACAAGGCACACGCGGTCAAATGATTTGCTATAGACATGAGCGCCAACGCTGATAAACAGGCATAACACAAACTCGTCATTACACTATTGTCTTTCTAAATTAAAATCAACATTTTCACCCTCCTTATCATTCAGTTAGGCCTAATTTAAAATTCAATTGTTAAGTAACGTGCACAATTATCGCTCACTCGTCCATTTGGGGCATTTTTATTATTTCCATTTGTCCCGTTTTCTGAATGCTCTGAGGACTTTAACTATATATATATATATATATATATATATATAATGTTTTGCTAGATTACTGAGTAGACACCATTATGTGGGATTCCCAGTACTCCTGTCCAATATCAATTGAACACTTAGAAGTTGTTGCACACACGCTATCCTGCTAGTCATAATAAAAACACTCGGATTGAACCGAAAAATCCCTAAACGGTCATTGAGAGCCAGCAGGAAATGATGTCGTTGGGTAGCAACGCTTGCATAAAACACTGCTATCTAGAAGGGTGGGGAGGGACAGTCTGACACCTCCAGAAAACTGGCTGAATACAGGGTCATGTCAATTGCTGCAGCGGTCTGCTGTGCCATTTTCGACATTTCTCGTGTAAAAGTCACCGACATTTACCTCATGTGGAGACACATCTGTGCCAGGTTTGGTCAAATATTTCTTCCTGAATGATGAGACGATGGTTTGTCATTTAAGTTTCCAGTGCACCTCAACATTAGAGTTTTTTTTTTTTTTTCCCCCTTTAGTCAGCACTCAGGCAGAGGAAATCAGCATCGCCAGGCTAAAAGGAACATATGCCCAATAAAATTATATTAAAACAGCTGTGCTATTGAGAGAAACTTTTAGAGTACCTGATAATCTACAGGCTACTGTTAAAGTAAGCCTGCCACTAAAGTGCTACCACTCCCTGCAGCCCTCATGCCAGTGTTGTTCTTGGCCTGCCTCAGCCTACCCGCAGCTATTCCCCCATCCCCCAACTACAGCCAAACGTCAATTCTAGGCCTTGCAACAGAGTTTTTCCAGCAACCAAAAAAAAAAAAAAAAAAAGTCTCAGGATTTCTAAGAGAGCTGTAGAACCTCACAATAAGGGGCTACACCTATGGAGATACTCAGCTTAGTGGACGAGAACAGGTTTCCAGGGTGTGGTGTTTCAAGCAAGTGGGAAGAGATTGAGCTCAGCTGGAGGGTTGAGAGAGTGGAGTAAGCTAGACAACTTTCCCTTCAATCTTTCAAAATCAGGGTTCTGATCACTAAAAAGGGGAAACCCAGAGAACAATAGGACCCTGTACCAGCCCATGGTTGACTCACATCATCCCATGGAAAACATTACCCAGCTGTGTTTAACCAAAAGCTTTCACCCTTGGTCCTTTGTTCACATGGCACTACTTTAAAATCATGACCTCTTTGCAGGGCCTTTCAAGGACTGCCTTGCGGCTCTAGAGGAGGGCCACACCACCAGTGGCATGTACCTGGTCAAGCCTGAGAATGCCAACCGGTTGATGCAGGTGTGGTGCGACCAGAGCCACGACCCCGGCGGCTGGACAGTTATCCAGAGGCGCCAGGACGGCTCAGTCAACTTCTTCAGGAACTGGGACACCTACAAGGTAAATGCCCATGAAGGTGGCTGTCTTATGTAGAACAGTAGATTCATGTTTTAATGCCCAGATAGAACAGGCAGTGAAAATAGCTTTCCTTTCTGGGGGATTGAATCAAGACATGATAAACTAAAGGATCACAATACAGCTCCACTAGAAGCCTTCAACAAGGGGAGTTGCTTCCCTTTAGATCTACCATTGTTATTGAGGTTCTAATGAAAATCAGCCAGGTAGCCCCATCATACTATAGGCTAGTATCAGCCAGGTAGCCCCAACTTACATTTACATTTTACATTTTAGTCATTTAGCAGACGCTCTTATCCAGAGCGACTTACATGAGCAATTAGGGTTAAGTGCCTTGCTTAAGGGCACATCGACAGATTTTTCACCTAGTCAGCTCGGGGATTAGAACCAGCGACCTTTCGGTTACTGGCACAACGCTCTTACCCACTAAGCTACCTGCCGCCCCATAGGCTAGTATAGGCTAGTATCAGCCAGGTAGCCCCATCATACTATAGGCTAGTATCAGCCAGGTAGCCCCATCACACTATAGGCTAGTATCAGCCAGGTAGCCCCATCGTACTATAGGCTAGTATCAGCCAGGTAGCCCCATCATACTATAGGCTAGTATCAGCCAAGTAGCCCCATCATACTATAGGCTAGTATCAGCCAAGTAGCCCCATCATACTATAGGCTAGTATCAGCCAGGTAGCCCCATCACACTATAGGCTAGTATTTCACTACTCTTCATTGTTACTGGTAAAAAAACAAAAACAGCAAAGGTCATTTGAGTCCAGGGTTTGATTGGATTGGTCCACACACACACACACACACACACACACACACACACACACACACACAACTCTTGCATGGACTAATGAAAAGCACATTGATGAGAAACAGCTTCACTGGACACGAGCAACAGAACCAAACCAATGCCAAGACGACCGTGTGATCAAATACGGAGCAGAATTCCCTTAAGTCATACCTTGAGTTTCACTCTCTGAGGGTCACATGTGAATCATTGAATAAGTGAGTTAGGATCTATTCTCAGTTCCAACATTTCCATTTGATTGTGCAACTGTATTGTTTTCAAAAAAAATAGGAGCTGGAGCGTCCCAAAAATGTTATTTGTTGAGTTTCTCCAATAATTCCACAACCATTCGATAGCACAAAGCTGTCAAACAGTCCACACAAGATATCATGAAACGATATTAAAAATAAACTAAATAAATAAAAAATAAGAAATCTATGGGAGATTTGAGCCTTACAGTGATCTAAGGTCCTAATATCCATGAAGTGTGGTTTACCCCATTTGCCACGGGTCTGAACCAGAATGTCGTCATACATTTAGCGGCTAGAGATTCACATCCTGCGGCACAGAGGTCGGACTGGCTTATTTGGATAAATTCCCCCCCTTCCCCTTTAAAGTTGAGTCCAAGAACACAAAACATTTCCAAGCCCACCACCCCCCTCTCCCTTCTGGCAACGAGGCACCTTAAGACACACAAATTACAAAATGACAGGCTCATAGTTGGCAGGGTAAAGTGCTCCCTCCAGATTCAATCCATGTGTGGTTTAATGGGATCTATAGTCCCAGACCCACAGCGACCTCTGGGGAAGAGGACACATCATGTTATTATGCTGCCACCACTCTTTCCCTGACATCATACCAGTCATGTCGCGCACATGCTTTAGTCCCTTCTCCCATCTTTGACAAACGGGTGAACGGGAGATGTGTGGTCCTGGAAGCATTTACTGCATAAGGAGCTTTCTAAAGCAAAACGGTTTTTGAGTGGGGAAACAACAGCTCTGTATACAAGCGTGGACTACATTGTGTGCGTTTTGGGAGGGTGGACTGGCACTATGAATGTCGGCGCCTTTGAACGGAGCATTTAGATTTATCTGCAGCATTATAAAAACATCTCCCTCCTGCTTCTACCCTCTCACAGCAAGGTTTTGGTAACATTGATGGCGAATACTGGCTGGGTCTTGAAAACATCTATTGGCTGACCAACCAGGGCAACTACAAGCTTCTGGTGATGCTGGAGGACTGGTCAGGACGCAAGACGTTCGCCGAATACGCCAGCTTCCGTATCGAGGCAGAGGCAGACTTCTACAAACTAAGAGTGGGTCGCTACCATGGCAACGCCGGGGACTCCCTCACGTGGCACAACGGCAAGCAGTTCACCACGCTGGACAGGGATCACGACGTGTATACAGGTGAGAGAGGAAATACACCCTGTGGTGATTGCTGCTATTACTCAGAGGAACAGTTTACCGTAACAGACAGTGATTCATTGGATACACAATAACCAGCAGATCAACAGGAGACTGTGTGTCATACTCTGAGATTTATGGCACACACTTTAGTCTTCTGATTCATTGGGTCAGACGTGGTCGTGGTCGAATCCAATATCCCTGTTAATTTCTCAGTGTCCTTCAGAAGTCTTCCAGGCAGACGTGATTAATAGCGTGCTCATATATATATATATATATATATATATATATATATATATATATATATATATATATATAGTATGAAAAATGTATGCACTCACTAACTGTAAGTCACTCTGGATAAGAGCGTCTGCTAAATGACTAAAATGTAAATGTAATATAGATATATAGAGAGATAGATAGATAGATAGAACACTGTTTGGACGCTTAGGCGGCCTGCCAAAGGACTTCAATTGCAGAAAAATCCCTGAGTAGGACTGCTGATCTCGGACCAGTTTAGCCATTTAGATCATAATGAATAAGATTATATGGACTGATCCTAGATCAGGACTCTTACTCTCGAATGCTTTGTGGATATGGTCCCAGGTTGCTATAGCGCTGCAAAAACAATTCAGAGCCGAGAATGAGGGGAACAAGGAAATATTAAAAGACCACCTATGGGGGACTTTGCCAAAGAGTATTAACCCGAGGGTTTGCACAGTGGGACAGACTGTACTGATTTCTGATCAAACCGCATGGGCAGAGCTAGGTCCTCTGTGTGAATTTGGGCAGCACAAGTATAAGCCTTTTGAAAGCATTGTTATGAGGAATACGTATTCAGCTTTAGAGCAACTGTACTATATAAGAAATGGAAAACGGTTTGGGTAAAATACGGAGATTAATGATTTAAAAAAAAAATAATAATAATAAATAATTTAAACACATAGATTTGCCACTTAAAAGCTCTACTTTGCATTGACTACATACTGCATCATTTTTTTTTAGGTAACTGTGCCCATTACCAGAAGGGTGGCTGGTGGTATAATGCCTGTGCTCACTCCAATCTGAACGGCGTGTGGTACCGGGGAGGCCACTACCGCAGCCGCTACCAGGACGGCGTCTACTGGGCCGAGTTCCGCGGCGGCGCTTACTCCCTGAAGAAAGTGTCCATGATGATCCGGCCCAACCCCAACACCTTCCACTAAGATCACAGTTCGCAGAGCGAGAACCAACCGCAGGAAACCTTTTGTTATTATTATTATTTTTTTTGAATGGGCATTTCCTCCAACGTGACCCCGTTTCCTCTGTCCTGAGAATAGGTGCAATTCATTTCAGCTTCTGTCCTTTTGTTTTCTTTTGATTCCCTTTATCTCTTTACGTACATAAATATATAGATATAGCATAAAAGTGCAATGGCTGTCTTCTGTATGGCTCACAGGGCCAGTGTGGTGTTTTTCCCCCCACAAGGGGTTCAAAGCCCTCTCGCAGAACTCATCTAGCGTTCTTTGGAGGCACAGTTCCACATGGTTTACCTTCTCGTTGAACTAGCAGGGCAGTCAAGTTCCCTCTGAGGAGCTTGCAAAACAATTGCAATTACAAAAGACACAGGACCTGTGCCTTTCGGACACTGACTTTGCACATATGCTGAACGAATGCAGAAGTGATGGTGCCGGCTTTCATTGTGTTGCTCTACAGCTGCCGACAAATGAAACCAAGAGAGAAGTTTGCATTATTAGTTTATTCATTGGTTGTGAAAAAGGGGAAATATTTTTATGTTTTTTTGTTGTTGTTGTTCATAAATATACATATAGCACATCTCCATAAAGAACGTTTTTTGACGGTTTCGAGTCACTACGGTTATCTGGCTGTTATGCAATATTAGTACTGATGCTTTGAGTTTTATACTTTGAGGAAACGTGACACAGGAATTAATATCCGGTGACCCCATCCAAAAACACTTACTGGAAAATAAATTGCTACTAGTTTGTTTTCGTTCCTGCCAACATTTTAAGCCTAGATTATTTACAGGAGGGTAAACCAACTATTTATTTAGAAAGATATATATTTCCCTGTAAGACCATAAGTCATTTTGATCTAACAAGTGTCTTTATTTTGGCCAAACAACTGAGCCAACAAAGAAGCTCATTCATTTCTACAGCAGAGCAGAGATTCGCGGCAACTTCAGATCTGCTCAGCTACTGTGAGGAATTCTCTATTGGGGAGGGGTGGCTGGCTGGCTGGGTGAGTGTCATGGGGTTCGAAGGGGAGGATACAGAGGAAAGGGGAGGATGGAGTAGAAGGGGAGGGAGGAGAGGGAGGGGAGGGAGGAGAGAAAGGGGGGGAGGAGAGGGAGGGGAGAAAGGGGAGGATGGAGAGGATGGGGAGGATTGGAGAGGGAGGGGAGGGAGGGGAGGATGGAGATGATGGGGAGGGAGGGGAGGATGGAGATGATGGGGAGGGAGGGGAGGAAGGAGAGGGAGGGGAGGAAGGAGAGGGAGGGGAGGAAGGAGAGGGAGGGGAGGGAAGGAGAGGGAGGGGAGGAAGAGGGAGGGGAGGGGAGGAAGGGATTAGATGGAGAGGGAGGGGAGGATGGAGAGGGGGGGAGAGGGAGGGGGGAGAGGGAGGGGGGAGAGGGGGGGAGAGGGGAGGATGGAGAGGGGGGGAGAGGGAGGGGAGGGGAGGAAGGAGAGGATGGAGAGGGAGGGGAGGATGGAGAGGGAGGGGAGGAAGGGGGAGAGGGAGGGGAGGAAGGGGGGAGAGGGAGGGGAGGATGGAGAGGGAGGGGAGGAAGGGGGAGAGGGAGGGGAGGAAGGGGGAGAGGGGAGGATGGAGAGGGAGGGGAGGAAGATGAGGGAGGAGTGGAAGGGGAGGATGGAGAGGTGCTTGGAAAGGAGTCTTCATCGCTTGTCCTAATGAACCATTAGGGAGAATGGGGTCAACCAATCTATCCAACCTCCCCCAGAGGTGTTGACACTATGGATGCCCCCAGAGGTGTTGACACTATGGATGCCTCACAGAGAGCCTCCTATCTTATTGTTTACCAGCAGGAGGGCAAGGGAAGACCTGAAGTTGAAAGGTGATGGTGATGCCATCGAAAGGGCCTTGCCAAAAGTACGCCATCAAAATATATGTTCAGTGAACATACCTTTTTAAAGTGCAGACACACAAAAAAAATTATGGACAAACGGCCCACCGGTTACGTAACTAACCACCGTCCAAACGACACCCGACAATCCTAGTTAACCTCTCACAACCATTATAATCTCCTTTCATGCAGTCCGAGCTTTAAGGCAAGATGGACGAGGGTAAAGAACAACGTTGCAGCTTCATTGATTCAGATGGGCGATCTTATGAGTCCAATTGCTCTGAGTATTTTGAGGTCAAATAGGGGTTATATACAGTGAGGGAAAAAAGTATTTGATCCCCTGCTGATTTTTTACATTTGCCCACTGACAAAGAAATGATCAGTCTATCATTTGAATGGTAGGTTTATTTGAACAGTGAGAGACAGAATAACAACAAAAAAGTCCAGAAAAACGCATGTAAAAAATTTAATAAATTGATTTGCATTTTAATGAGGGAAATAAGTATTTGACCCCCTCTCAATCAGAGAGATTTCTGGCTCCCAGGTGTCTTTTATACAGGTAACGAGCTGAGATTAGGAGCACACTCTTAAAGGGAGTGCTCCTAATCTCAGCTTGTTACCTGTATAAAAGACACCTGTCCACAGAAGCAATCAATCAATCAGATTCCAAACTCTCCACCATGGCCAAGACCAAAGAGCTCTCCAAGGATGTCAGGGACAAGATTGTAGACCTACACAAGGCTGGAATGGGCTACAAGACCATCGCCAAGCAGCTTGGTGAGAAGTTGACAACAGTTGGTGCGATTATTCGCAAATGGATGAAACACAAAATAACTGTCAATCTCCCACGGCCTGGGGCGCCATGCAAGATTTCACCTCGTGGAGTTGCAATGATCATGAAAACGGTGAGGAATCAGCCCAGAACTACACGGTAGGATCTTGTCAATGATCTCAAGGCAGCTGGGACCATAGTCACCAAGAAAACAATTGGTAACACACTACGCCGTGAAGGACTGAAATCCTGCAGCGCCCGCAAGGTCCCCCTGCTTAAGAAAGCACATATACAGGGCCGTCTGAAGTTTGCCAATGAACATCTGAATGATTCAGAGGAGAACTGGGTGAAAGTGTTGTGGTCAGATGAGACCAAAATGGAGCTCTTTGGCATCAACTCAACTCACTGTGTTTGGAGGAGGAGGAATGCTGCCTATGACCCCAAGAACACCATCCCCACCGTCAAACATGGAGGTGGAAACATTATGCTTTGGGGGTGTTTTTCTGCTAAGGGGACAGGACAACTTCACCGCATCAAAGGGACGATGGACGGGGCCATGTTCCGTCAAATCTTGGGTGAGAACCTCCTTCCCTCAGCCAGGGCATTGAAAATGGGTCGTGGATGGGTATTCCAGCATGACAATGACCCAAAACACACGGCCAAGGCAACAAAGGAGTGGCTTAAGAATACGCACATTAAGGTCCTGGAGTGGCATGGCCAGTCTCCAAACCTTAATCCCATAGAAAATCTGTGGATGGAGCTGAAGGTTCGAGTTGCCAAACGTCAGCCTCGAAACCTTAATGACTTGGAGAATATCTGCAAAGAGGAGTGGGACAAAATCCCTCCTGAGATGTGTGCAAACCTGGTGGCCAACTACAAGAAACATCTGACCTCTGTGATTGTCAACAAGGGTTTTGCCACACAGTACTAATTCATGTTTTGCAGAAGGGTCAAATACTTATTTCCCTCATTAAAATGCGAATCAATTTATAACATTTTTGACATGCGTTTTTCTGGATTTTTTTGTTGTTATTCTGTCTCTCACTGTTCAAATAAACCTACCATTAAAATTATAGACTGATCATGTCTTTGTCAGTGGGCAAACGTACAAAATCAGCAGGGGATCAAATACTTTTTCCCCCTCACTGTCTGTGTCCTGTTTCACACAAGCACAAGTGTATAACCTGTACAGTGTGTAACCTGTACAGTGTGTGGTGTGAAATGGAAATGTGTTTTTTGCATATCCCACTCCCCCTGAGACACCCTCAGAGAGTGGGGTCCCGGCCAGGGCCTGCCATGATTGACGGCGAACCTGGAGCAATTAAGATTCAAGTTTTTAATGTCACATGCACAAGTATAGTGAAATGCCTTTCTTGCAAGCTCTAAACCCAACAATGCAGTAATCAATATTACGGTTACTGGGCCAACGCTTTAACCACTAGGCTACCTGCCATCACAACGAGACCAAGTGTGTCAAACTCGATCATTACAAATCCCTTTTGGGTGAGATCCCAAACTCACGCTTCAGTTTCTCAACCTCGACAGAATACAGACAAGTGGTTCCATGTAGTGTTCACACAATCTCAAACAAGAGGTTCCCTGTAGTGTTCACACAATCTCAAACAAGAGGTTCCCTGTAGTGTTCACACAATCTCAAACAAGAGGTTCCCTGTAGTGTTCACACAATCTCAAACAAGAGGTTCCCTGTAGTGTTCACACAATCTCAAACAAGAGGTTCCCTGTAGTGTTCACACAATCTCAAACAAGAGGTTCCCTGTAGTGTTCACACAATCTCAAACAAGAGGTTCCCGTACTTTTCACACGTCAGACAAGAGGTTCCCTGTACTGTTCACACAACGTCACGTCAATAATCCAGTCCTCTCTGTACATAAGTCGTCCTCATTAAGGTTATTTTTGTAAGGTATCGAACTGCTGTGTATTACCAGAGCCTTGTAATAAAACCAGAGCATTCAGGGCTCGAACCACCCAGTGTATAATAAACTATGTACAGCCTCTTTGGTGTTTTCTTTTGGACAGCTGTGGAGGTGAATGAAATGATACAGCACCCAGATAGAAACTGGGACAGATATACATCGGAGAGAGAGAGAGAGAGAGAGAGAGAGAGAGAGAGAGAGAGAGAGAGAGAGAGAGAGAGAGACAGAGAGAGAGACAGAGAGAGAGACAGAGAGAGAGAGGGGGGCTTAGTGATGGTGGTCTCCATAGGCGTTAGGACCCCTGCCTCTTTCTATGGAGTTCTTAACTACTCCGAGGGGCCAACAAGGCCACGATGCCCAAAATGAGACAAAATAGTCAACAATTTAAATTAGGCAACCCAAGGGACTGGTTTAACCTCGCCGACACTCAAACAGCTCCAGTCAAAACGCTATTCTTATCCCCCGGTCTTGGCTGTTATGACAAGCTCGGTTTCCAATGAGTCTGAGAAACTGCTCTGGTATCATAAATGCCTTAAACTCATTGAAAAGGGGGAGGACCTTGCACACAAAAACAAAAACGCAGAATGGGTAGAGAGATCAGCTTTGGGAAATGTACACTATATACACTACCGGTCAAAAGTTTTAGAACACCGACTCATTCAAGGGTTTCTCTTTATTTTTTTACTATTTTCTATATTGTAGAATAATAGTGAAGACATCAAAACTATGAAATAACACATATGGAATCATGTAGCAACCAAAAAATTGTTAAACAAATCTAAATATATTTTATATTTTATATTCTTCAAATAGCTACCCTTTGCCTTGATGACAGCTTTGCACACTCTTGGCATTCTCTCAACCAGCTTCACCTGGAATGCTTTTCCAACATTCTTGAAGGAGTTTCCACATATGCTGAGCACTTGTTGGCTGCTTTTCCTTCACTCTGCGGTCCGACTCATCCCAAACCATCTCAATGAGGTCGGGGGATTGTGGAGGCCAGGTCATCTGATGCAGCACTCCATCACTCTCATTCTTGGTCAAATATAACTTATACAGCCTGGAGTTGTGATGGGTCATTGTCCGGTTGAAAAACAAATGATAGTCCCACTAAGCCCAAACCAGATGGGATGGCGTATCGCTGCAGAATGCTGTGGTAGCCACACTGGTTAAGTGTGCCTTGAATTCTAAATAAATCACAGACAAGCGTCACCAGCAAAGCACCCCCACACCATAACACCTCTTCCTCCATGCTTTACGGTGGGAAATATACATGGAGATAATCCGTTCACCCACACCGCGTCTCACAAAGACACTGCGGTAGGAACCAAAAATCTCACATTCGGACTCCAGACCAAAGGACAAAGTTCCACCGGTCTAATGTCCATTGCGCGTGTTTCTTGGCCCAAGCAAGTCTCTTCTTATTATTGGT